GCAACGGATTTCCTGGAGCCAGAAAGCCTGATGGATCTTTCTGATACTGATTTTAAAAGAACAATGATTGAATATTTTCAATGGATAAAAAAGAAAATAGATGAAATACAGAATAGTGCTAGCAAAGATAAGGAGGAGCTTAAAAAAACAATCCAAAACACAGAGAAAACAAATGAAGCATTAGAGGCATTGGAAAAACAAGAAACTGTGATCCAGAATTTGAAATCTAAGGTTTCTGATGTTGTCAACATGATGGAGGGACATACGAATAGAGGAGAAGAGATGGAAAACAGAATCCGTGAAATAGAAGATACAATTGTCACCACAGATCTGACTGAGAAAAAAGCAGAATCCAAAAAGAAGGAAACAAAAGAAAGCTTGAGAATAATATGGGATACCATTAAAAGAAATAACATCCGCATCATAGGAATCCGAGAACGGGAAGAAGCAAGTAAAGGCATTGAAAAAGCTGTGGAAGAATTACTAGAGGAAAACTTTTGGGGCATAATGAAGAACGACAGAATATATATCCAAGAAGCTGAGCAAACACCATATAGAATAGACCCTAAAAGAAAACCACCACATCATTGTCAAATTTGCTAGAACGAAAGACACGGAGAGAATACTAAAAGCAACGAGAGAGAAACAAAGAATGACCTATAAGGGAGAAAAGATAAGATTAACTGCTGATTTCTCAGCGGAAACCATGCGAGCAAGAAGAGAGTGGAATGGCATTTATCGAACACTTAAAGAACAAAACTTTCAACCAAGAATACTGTATCCTGAAAAACTGTCCATCAACTACAAAGGAGAGATTAAAATGTTCTCAGAAATACAAAACCTAAAGGAGTTCGTAAAAACAAGACCAACCATACAGGAAACACTAAGAGACATCCTGGAAACAGAGATGCCACAGAAAACAGGATGGACCAAAGTAACTAGCAACAACAACAAAAAGAATTGAACAAAATGACAGCAATAAAACCCTACCTCTCAATAATTACACTGAACGTGAATGGATTAAATGCACCACTGAAGAGAAAAAGAGTAGCAGAATGGATAAAAAAACAAAATCCATCAATAATGGAGATAAAGTAAGATTAAAAATTAAAGGTTGCTGTTGTTATGTGC